CTACTTGAGCCTAAGCCATTCCCTCCTTGAAAAAAATAAAAACAAAAACCTTTTATTTTATGTGCATGGGTGTTTTGCCTGCATGTATGTCTGTGCATATCACATCTGTGCCTGGTGCCCAAGAAAGCCAGAAGAGAGCATTAGACTCTAGGACTGGAGTTACTGACAGTTGTAAGGTGCCACGTGAGTGCTGAGAATTAAACCTGGGTCCTCTGAAAGAGCAGCAGGTAGTCTTAACCACTGAGCCATCTCTCTAGCCCTAAAACCATCCCTTCTTGAAATAAACCAGGCACAAAAATCTCACTCAGCAAGAGGGAGAGGGAGCCATGAATGCCTCCATCCCTCCAGAGGGATAGCAGGGAGTCAACGGTAGTTAGGCCACCAGGAAGGGCTATAACACAGCATGGAGCCCACAGATCTTGTCCTGGTAGATTTCCATGGAGCTTTCTCTAGATGAAGTCCAACAAGTGAGAAAGCCCAGGCTGGGCAAGAGTCAGGCTTCAGCCGGAGATCATGTTTACAGTCTTTTGTCTGCCAAGCTGACTTTAAACAGACATGTGTGCCTGAGTGATCCCTGTTTGTCAGGCAGCTGAGCATGCACTGGTCCTGTGCCATGGGCCAGGAGACTCACCAAGCGAGCAGGAACACACCAAGTCAGCGAGTCTCAGTTTCCAACCCTCACACCATTAGCCTGGGAGACGGCAACGCAGAGGCCAAGGATCCTGAGGCCATGACTAGATCTTAAAACCCCAAGTTGCTGTATCCCCAACTGAAGTTCCAAGGACAGGTCAGTCTGCAGCACAGCCCACCTTGGGAAGAATGTGGTTCAAGGACAAGATCTGGCATGGACGAGTGGCCTCTGTCCTGTGAGCAGGGCCAAGCTCACTGTCCCCGTGAATCTCACAGGAGAAGCAGGGCCCGGTAGCTCCTACACCTTTTCATAAGGCGACCCTCCCATGTCCCACAACATCTGCAGGGCCAGCAGGCAAGGCCAGGGGGTGACTACCCAAGGAGGGACCCAAGGCTGATCATTAGCTTTGAGGCTTTCCAGGGATGTTAGCCCGTGAAATAAAAGGATGAAATCACAGTTGCTTGGGGCCAAAGCAAGTCCCCATGGGGCACAGCTTTAAGGAGGGGAGGGGAAGTTTATATCAGAGTACCACGCAGAGACAACTCCCTTAGCTGTTCCTGGAACCCCAAAGAATCAACCAGGCCAACTCCACCCACAGCTCAATTCATCATATTGCTGGAGTTGAAAGTAACAACCCCCCACACACACACAAAGTTTCTCTATATAACAATCCTGGCTGTCCTGGAACTCACTCTGTAGACCAGGCTGACCTCAAACTCACAGAGATCCTCCTTCCTCTGTTCTGGGATTAAAGGCATGAGTTGTTTTGTTTGTTTTTGGAGACATGTTTTCTCTATATAGCCTTGGCAGTTCTTGAATCCACTATATAAACCAGTCTGGTCTTACTATATAGATCGGTCTGGTCTTGAACTCACAAAAGTCTGCCTGGAAGATGCGAGCACCACACCCAGTTCAACCCAAATATCCTGATATTATCATCACATACAGAAAAACACATTTAGTAGCATTAGGAGGAGCTCAGAGAATTGTGTGGAAGAAGGAGAGGAAAGATTGTAGGAGCCAGTTTTCCACAAGGAAACCCACAGAATCAACTAACATGGGCTCATAGGGACTCACAGAGATTACACTGACAACCAGGAAGCCTTCATGGGACTGACCTAGGTCATCTGCATATATGTTACAGTTGTGTAGCTTCATCTTCTTATGGGACTCATAATAGGGGAGCAGGTGCTGTCTCTGACTCTTTTGCTGGCTTTTGGGACTCTACTCCTCATACTGGGCTGCTCCATCCAACCTTAATACAAGGAGAGGTGCCTAGTCTCACTGCAACTTGATATGCTATGTTTGTTTGGTAACCAGCAGCACACCTCTGAAGACCCGGGTTCAGATCTCCGGGACCAATGTAAAAAGCTGGGCATATGATCCCAGGGCTGGGGAGGTAGGAACAGCAGGATCCCAGGGGCTTGCTGCCCAGCTGGTCTAGCTTAAATGAGTGAGCTCTGAGTTCAATGAGAAACACTATTTAAAAAATTAGGTCGACAGTGATTAAGGATGTCAACTTCTGTCCTCCACACATGGATGTGCATCCCCCGTATGTGCACACACGTGAACACACATACAATGGGACTGAGAGATAGAATGCTTAGTATGTTTAAGTTCCTGGGTTTGGTTTTCAGCATGAAAAAAAGAAAAGAAAAACACATCTACCATTTTTCCCCTCTCACAGCTCCTCTCTCCCCTTCTGGGATTTTACCTCCCAGGATCCTTTGCTGGTTATGCAAAGACCCAGCAGGCCTCTGTCTCTCTGCGCTATGACGGGCCATGGTTTTGCTGAAGGACTCATGTCCATAGGCCTTGCTATCACTGCCACCCAGATGACTGTGGGTGGTCCCCCTGGGAAGCCGTGACGTCCTGGCTGTGGAACTTCCCAGAACATTATCCCTGTACCCACTGGCACTGCCAAGGATGTGGGCAAGGTCATCCAAGAGCTGAAGGAGATGCTCACTGCCATGGCCTTCCATGTTCCTGCCCCCAGGGTGTCTGTTGCGGCTCTGACGGGGCACGTGGAGGAAGCTGCCAGGTACAACGACATCCAGAAGGTGGTGAAACAGGCTTTGGAGAGCTCACTCAAGGGCATTCTGGGCTACACTGAGGACCAAGTTGTCTCTTAAGTTTTTAAAAGTGATGCCAACCCTTCCACCTTTGATGCTGGGGCTGGCACTGCTCTCAATGGCAACTCTGTAAAGCTCATTTCCTGCTCTGACAATGAATATGGCTACAGCAACAGGGTGGTTAGTGGCTTACGTGGCCTCCAAGGAGTAAGAAGCCTTGGACCATCTACCCTGAAAAGAACAGAGAGGAAGAGAGAGGCCCTCAGCCACTGAGGAGTCCCTGTTCCAACTCAGCCCTGAAACACTTGTATCTCCCTTCATAATTTCCATCCCAGCACCACAGAAGAAGGGGAGGGGCTTAGGGAGCACTACTCTCTTCAACACCACCAATAAAGTTCACTGCACCTACCAGAATCAATAAAGTAAAATAAAACAGACCATGGAGGTAGGCAGTGTATTCCTGGGAAGTACCTCCAACCCTTCTTTCTCCATCCCCAGACTCCAGGTCTGGTTCCCACCCTCCACTCACACACCCGGCCATCTGCTCAGAGGCTGTACCAGTCTCTCTTGCCTGGTGGAGAGGGCCAGGGCCAGGGGTAGCTGAGCCAGAAGTGATTCCCATCTCAAAGTCCAGGGCTGCTTCCCAGCAAGCTCCATATGGGGGCCTGGATCAGCCTTCCTCAGAACAAAGGGGCATCTTCAGCCCAGCACGAGGGCTCCTGCCTGGAACAACTCATCACTCACCAGCCCGTTCACAGGCACAGCGCAAATGTCCTTTGAGCCAGGAAGGAACTTGTCAGCCTTCACAGGGAAGGAGGCAGCATGCCATAGGAGTTAAGTGGGAGGGTACAGAGTTCAGGTTGCCCAGGCTGCAGCCTGGCTCTTCTGCCTCCCAGAATGTCACTACTGAATCCCACCCTCCTCCAGGCCAGATTTCTCATCTTCAAAAGGGGAATGTTAGTGAATGTCTCCCTCAGTTGTTGTGACAGTTCAGTGGAGTAAGTTTCATGAAGTATTTTGGATGCTCAGCATGCAGCAAGCACTAAATAAATGCCGGCTAGCATTGGCGCCAAGTTAAAGCAGCAGTTTTAAGGAACAGCTGCTTCCCTGAAGTACAGAGATTTAGGATGTAGAGCTCTGTTCACTGACCTCTCAACTCTTGCCATTTCTCAAGAGGAGTGTCCTTCCTTCCTTCCTTCCTTCCTTCCTTCCTTCCTTCCTTCCTTTTCCTCCTCCTCCTCCAATAAGCCTCCTCTCTTTATTTTTTTGGGTTTTTTGTGACAGTGTTTCTCTGTGTAAGAGCCCTGGCCATCCTGGAACTCAATTTGTAGACCAGGCTAGCCTTGAACTCAGAGATCCACATGCCTCTGCCTTCAGAGTGCTGGTATTAAAGGCATGCTCCACCACTACCTGGCAAACTCTTCTCTTTCTAACATCTGTTTGTTTATTTATTGTTTGTTTGTTTGTGTTTGTGCTCAAGTGGGGCATGCATAGGGGGTAGGGCAGAGGTCAACCTCAAGTATCTTCCTCAGCAACACTGTCCACTTTGTATTTTGAGACAAGGTCTCTCAATGGTCCCTAGGGCTTGCCAATTCAACGGAGGTGGCTGGACAGTGAGCTTCAGGGATCCTCCTGTCTCCACTGCCCAATACTAGGATGCAGGCTGCTGCTACCACACCCAGCTTTTTACCAGGTCTCTGGGGACCAAACTCAGGCCCTCATGCTAATGCAGCAAGAACTTCGTCAACTCAGCTGTTTGCCCAGCACCACCTACCATATGTGGCTGTTGTTGTTTTGTTTTCAAAGGATTGTTGACAGCTTTGAGATCTCTATTACTGACATCGTGAAATCTTATCCTACTCAAAATGTTTCCAAAAATTAACCTATAATCAAAAAGTTCATGTTGTTAAAATAAATCTTCAAAAATGTAAAGTGCCCACACAAAATAAGGCAAGTTTTTCTATGTTTAGACACCAGAGCACATTCAGTGGACCAGGATGCTCGTGGTATGGCATTGCAGGTAAAACCTTGATAAGCAGAATGAAGACATGGATGAGGCCGTTCCTCCAGCCTATGAGTCTTTGGCTACTTGTCAGTTCACACCCCAGTCACTAAAAAGAGCACATGACATAACTTTGCCATGCAAAGTCACCACTGTGCCACCTGTCACTGATCCAAGCTAGAAACTTTGTTCTTCTGAGCTTCACGAAATGGGCCTCTTCCCCGTTCTCATGATATAGACTGACCCCGGTCACCAGTCTGGTTAATGTAAAAGGAAAAAAGGGACATCTACTTACTTGCAGCCTGGATACGAGCCTTCCGACTGACCAGCAGCCCAAAGCGGTTCTGAGCCACACATTCGTAGTCACCCTCGTCTGAAGGGCCAACTCCCTGCTCCAGCCTGAAGTGGTGGATCAGCAAGGACCCATTGGCCAGCAGGGTGGAGCGGGTGCCCTCAGGAAGCTCTGCTCCATTCTTCCTCCAGGAGACTTGCACTGGAGGGGTCCCCTCCACTTTGCAGCCCAGCACTATGGGTTGTCCAGGGACAGCAATATCGTCATTTGGCTCCACAGCAAATGCTAGTTCAGCAGAGTGGCCCAGACCTGCATCAGGAAGGAAAGGAGATGTTAGCATAGAATTTACATACAGCCAGAAAGGATTCCATACACAGAGATTTCAAGTTCCATGGTTCTATGTACCCATCACAACCCTAAGTCTGTAGACTTCATAGGAATCCCTATTAAACACAGAACTATTATGTATTACAGAATGCCATCCTATGCATTATTTTACTTAACTCCAACCACAGCAGAAAAATGAATGCCATTTGTACCACTCCTTTCGTAGATAAGAAAACTGAAACCTCGAGATGTCAGGGCCTCACAATTGGTCGTTACAAATCTGAGTCTTGGAGGGCTGGAGAGATGGCTCAGTGACTAAAGGCACTGGCTTCTCTTCCAGAGGACTTAGGTTCGATTTCCTTCACCCACATGAGGACACAAAAAGCACCTGTATCCAGACCTAGGGATCTAATGCCCTCTTCTGGCCTCCATGTGAACCAGGCATGGAAGAGATGCACAGTGAGCAAAACACCCACACACATAAAATAAACTAAAACTAAAGCTAAATGAAAAATAAAACACCAGAGTCTCAGCTGGGCGGTGGTGGTAGCTCATGTCTTTAATCCCAGCACTCGGGAGGCAGAGGCAGGGGGATCTCTGAGTTTGAGGCCAGCCTGGTCTACAGAGTGAGTTCCAGGACAGCCAGGGCTACACAGAGAAGCCCTGCCCCCCTCTCCCAGCCCAGATTAGAGTCTCAAAAGCAAGGCTGATCCCAGTACTCTGCTGCCACTTCGGCCATCACCCTGACAAGCACTGAAGCCTCACAGACTTTCAGGGTGTAACCTTAAAAATCTCAGGGTGCCCGCCACCAGCTATTTAAATGTGGCTTGTAACATGATTTACAAGAGAGTGCTGTGGAAAACTAAAGTTGCTAGAGCAATGCAAAGGGCTAGGGATGTAGCTCAGTTGGTAGAGTGTTTGCTTAGCATGCATAAAGTGCTGTTTGCCAGCACTAAAACCCAACGTGGTTGCCTGTGATCCCAGCACTAGTGAGGTGGAGGCATTAGAATCAATTATGCAGGGAGGCATTTTGGTCATCCCCATACAAGAGTGACAGAGATGCTCCTCACTGTGAATAAAAAAGGAAGGAAGGGGAAGAGGAGGAGAAGGAGGAAGAGGAAGAGGAGGAAAGAAAGAAAGGAAGGATAAAAGGAAGGAAGGAAGGAAGGAAATAGAATTAAGCCTGGTGTGGTGGCGCAGCACTTGGGAGGCAGAAGCCAGTGGGTCTCTGAGTTCGAGGCCAGCCTGGTCTACAAAGTGATTTCTATGTCAGCCAGGGCTACACAGAGAAGCCCTACCTCAAAAAACCAAACCAAAAAAGTGGTGTGAGCTGGGCATTGGTAGCACACGCCTTTAATCCCAGCACTCGGGAGGCAGAGGCAGGCAGATCTCTGTGAGTTCGAGGCCAGCCTGGTCTACAGAGCGAGTTCCAGGACAGACTCCATAACAATACAGAGAAACCCTGTCTCAAGAAAAACAAAACAAAACAAAAGTGGTGTGAGATAGTAATAAATCAGGTTTCCATTTGCTGGCAAACCGTCAGAGACCTGGTCCAATGCACAATTGGGAGCAGCAGGTATGAGCCCAGCACTCAGGGTACAGACAAGGCTGTGTATGGCCTACGCTGTACCTCTTACCCCAGGCTCTGGGTGTTGGTCCTTTGACCTTTGTTATATGGAGAGATCGGAAATAGTAAATATCAATTTAGATTTCCTAAATTTAGCAGAAAGTGTGTGTGTGTGTGTGTGTGTGTGTGTGTGTGTGTGTGTGTGTGTGTGTGCGCGCGCGCGCGCTGTGTCTATAACCTTCACTCTCAGGTAACTTCATTGCTCCAGCAGGATAAAAATGAGCGTGAGTGTGTATGTGTGCTGTGTGTGTGTGCTGTGTGTGTGTGATGGTGCCCAGGAATCAGGGACCAGGCAAGAGAAATAAGCACTCATATCCCACGGGTGACAGCCAGTCTCTCTCCCTCAAGCAATTTATCAGATCAGTTATGACTTCCCTCCAAGAGCAATGAGCCCTCCTCGTCTAAAAGGCTGGGCATAGAGCCCCCTCCTCACATTTTCGGGGCCTTGAGGTCCTGGACCTTGGGTTCTTCCTCATAGACCCAAGGCCTTCCCTGCTGAGCGGGGGCCCTAGTTGCGGGGGGGGGGTTGTCTAGGCATTGCCTCCACTCTAGGATAAGGACAGTTTAAGACATTTGACGCTCACACTCGGTCAGATCCCTCGAATCCTCCACACACCCTAAGTTTGAGTCAACCCCCCGCTGAAGCCACAGGGATGAAGTTTCTCCTGGGTGCAGATGCAGTATTTTGATTTTTGAGAAGGAAAGGAAAGAGAGTAGTTCAAACGTGTGTCTGCAAATGATTTGAGAAAGAGGACGACCTAGATCCACACCCTTTTTGGGTGAAATGAGTCTTTTACAGCCACCGAGGAAACTACGGATGGCCCCACAAACCCAGGGCAGAGACTCCTAGAGAGCTCCCTCGGGGAAGGGCGGGGCCCTGGGCAGTGCGGCTGGCAGGCACTGGCCCTGGGAGACATCGTCTCTCCTCCGGCTCTCCCAGTTCTTGGCAGGGTCGCCCTCTCAGCCCACCGGGAGTCTTTCTTCCCTCTTCCTCGTAAACCTCCGGACGCAGTCCTAGCTCTAAACACTGCTGGGGTGTGTGGGGTGGGAATGATGCCTTCTCAGTTCCGTGCTGGCGCGCCCCCATCCCGGGACCCCGATCGGCCGCTTCCGGCTTCAGTCGCCTTGGGCTACTCAGGGTCCCCCAGCCCAGCTCTGAGCACCCTAGCTCGCCCTCGTCGGTTGGGACTCGTCCGCTCGTTTTCCTATGGCTTGTTTCTTTTGGTCCCCAACGCAAGCCTGCCTCCCCAACTCCCGCTTTGCCGCGCTCCTAGCTCCTCCGTCCAAAATCAGGGTCCAGCCTGAACTTAACCCTAGTCCCCTAGACCCCTCTCCCGAGATTCTGTCCCCCCGCAGTCCTTCCAACCACAGGTAGCCTTGCCAGAGTGGCTCTCCCTGTGCCCGCAGAGCGCTGTCCCGCCTGGTCTCTCCAGCACGCGCTCCTAGCGCAGGTCCGCGCGGTGTCCCGGGGTCCGCCCCTCTCGCCTGGCTTCTGAGCCCCGGCTCACCCCGGCTTGGCGCGGACAGCGGCAACAGCAGCAGCAGCAGCGGCAGCAGTGGCGGCAGGAGCCGGGGCCGGCGCAGCTCGGGCGGGCGGCGCGGGGACGCGGTGCGCGGCGCAGCCATGGGGCTCTCGGTCCGCTGGGCTCGGCGACGCGCGGCGCTACCCGGGGTGGGGGCCTCTCGCGGGCTCACAGCGTCCCGCGGGGCCGGCGCCGGGGCCGGGGCCGGGGCTCGGGCCGGGGCCGAGCCCGGGCGGCGGGAGGCTGGGGCCGCATGCTGGCCTTAGCGGGGAGCGGGGATTAGGGAGAGCGCCGCTTGCGCCATCTTGCACCCACCGCGGCGATCTGTCAGCCGCGCCCGGGGTGCGCGCTCCGCTCTCCGCCCGCGCCCGCACCGCCCTCCTCCTCTGCCCGCCGCCCCCCCTCTTCTCCCCTCCCCCCAGCCCCCTCTCCCCGGAGGCCGGGTCTGGGGAACAAAAGAGCCGGCGAGCGCTTTAAGCTGCCGGACATTCCCGGCTGCGCGGCGGACGCGCCCCCTGCGCTTTGAACTGCAGCGGGAGTAGCCGGCGCCGACCCGGGCTGCAGCCGGGTATCCGCTCCTCGTGGTCCGTCCGGACTTCAGGATCTGGGAAAGTGAAGACTGTGAAAGAGGGTCCCGGCTGCGGAAAAAAAAAAAAAAGCAAACCTGAGGGGTTTGCTCTTCCCCACTTTCTCTACGGTGCCCTCTTCCACAATGTGCAAATCTCTGTTTTAAAGACAATTCCCTTAAAACTGCTCAAAGTTGCTAGAAATTCAGTATTCCCTAGGTTCCCGGCCCTTCTGTTCAAGGAATGGGTCATGTCGCTACTCTGTAGACTGAGGAGTTAGGGCACTCCCTCCCTCTGGGAAGAGTAGCCCTAACACTACATTAAGAGCCCCAATAGAAACCCGAGACCCCACCCGGTTCTGCCTACTGTCCAGCCCAGTCATGCTCACTGAGTTGGTCTAAAACCTGAAGACAATAGTTTCTCCCCTCAACTTTGCAGATCGCTAAAAGCAAAGGTCCGGGCAAATGACCTGGTAGCTGGGTAAGCACACTGGAAGTTCCACTCGCCAGGGATCGTCTCTGCTGTGTCTGATGTTTCACACACGGGAAGACAACTCTAGAGGAAAGACACCAGTGGCCAACCTGACTGACCGGCTGAGTTTCATCCCTGGGACCTACATGAGGCATGGAGAAAATGACATCCACAGCAAATTGTCCTCTGACAGCCAGCTGCACTTGCTCCATGGCGCGCGCGCGCGCGCGCGCGCGCGCACACACACACATACACACACACACACACACTCACACACACACACTCACACTCACACACACACCATAAATAAAATGTACTAAAAGGCTGAGTGATGGTGGTGCACACCTTTAATCCCAGCACTCGGGGGGGCAGAGGCAGGCATTTTTCTCAGTGAGTTCAAAGCCATCCTGATCTACAGAGTGAGTTCCAGGACAGCCAGGGCTACACAGAGAAACCCTGTCTCAAAAAACCAAACCAACCAACCAAACAAACAAAAATGCTCTTTTCAGAAGGGCCAGGCATAGTGGTATACATCTTTAATCCCAGAACTTGGCGGCAGAGGCAGTTGGATTTCTGTGAGTTTGAGGTCAGTCTGGTCTACATAATGGTTTCCAAGACAGCCAGAGCTACATAGTGAAACCCTGGCTAAACAAATAAACAAACAAAAATTTAAAAATCAACCTAAATAAATAAAAACCCCTTCAGGCCTCTAGGAATCAGGTGCTTGTACACAGACAGATCTGCATTAATATAAGCCAAAGAGGATAGTCTGAAGTCATGTGAGCAATGGAGAGATTCAAGAGCATGGACCCGGGTCTGCCATTGCCTCAAAAGGATTCATTGAGGAAGGGCTGGAGTGAGGCCTCTACAGACAACAGAGAAGGTAGCACTGACAGAGGGGCCTCTTTGGGGCCTGAAGTCCTGGAATGCCCTCCTGCAGGCCTTGAATCATCAACCACCCCTTCTTGGCATGTTCGGAACTCCAGAGAGGTCAAATTGGTGTCCTGAATTGCTGTCATTTTAAATTCATCTTGACAAGTGTTTAATTTTTCTTTATTACAACCCCTGGTCTGAGAGGGATACGCAAATAATGGCTATTCTGCTGCATGCAAAATTGCAGCCTCTCTGTGTGATCTGCCAGTTAATTCCGAGCCTGGCCCACCAGCCACTTTGGGGTGGTCCTGGACATGACAGCCTCTGCTGGCTCGTGATTCCTTCCGGTAAAAGGCACAGTGATCCTGTGATGTGTGAAGTACCATTGGTGACCTTGTATACATTTGAGTTCTTGCATACAAAGCAAGACATTTGGGAAGACGAGCATGTAGGTGTGACCCTAAGAGTGCATTGATCTAAGGTGTGACCCTATGAGAGTGCATTGATCTAAGGTGTGACCCTAAGAGTGCATTGATCTAAGGTGTGACCCTATGAGTGCATTGATCTAAGGTGTGACCCTATGAGAGTGCATTGATCTAAGGTGTGACCCTATGAGAGTGCATTGATCTAAGGTGTGACCCTAAGAGTGCATTGATCTGAGCCGGGCGGTGGTGGCGCACGCCTTTAATCCCAGCACTCGGGAGGCAGAGGCAGGCGGATCTCTGTGAGTTCGAGGCCGGGCTGGACCGATAGCCTCCAAAACAATACAGAGAAACCCTGTCTCGTAAAAACAAAACAAAAAAAAAGAGTGCATTGATCTAAGGTGTGACCCTAAGAGTGCATTGATCTAAGGTGTGACCCTAAGATTGCATTGATCTAGGTGTGACCCTAAGTAAGAGTGCATTGATCTAAGGTGTGACTCTAAGAGTGCATTGATCTAAGGTGTGACTCTAAGAGTGCATTGATCTAAGGTGTGACTCTATGAGTGCATTGATCTAAGGTGTGACCCTAAGTAAGAGTGCATTGATCTAAGGTGTGACTCTAAGAGTGCATTGATCTAAGGTGTGACCCTAAGAGTGCATTGATCTAAGGTGTGACTCTAAGTAAGAGTGCATTGATCTAAGGTGTGACCCTAAGTAAGAGTGCATTCATTGATCTAAGGTGTGACCCTAAGAGTGCATTGATCTAAGGTGTGACCCTAAGTAAGAGTGCATTGATCTAAGGTGTGACCCTAAGTAAGAGTGCATTGATCTAAGGTGTGACCCTAAGAGTGCATTGATCTAAGGTGTGACTCTAAGAGTGCATTGATCTAAGGTGTGATTCTAAGTAAGAGTGCATTGATCTAAGGTGTGACCCTATGAGTGCATTGATCTAAGACTGCATCGAGAGCAGGTGCATCCAGGAGTTGGGAATACGGCTCAACACATCTGTGGGCCACAATGTATGTCACCATTTCAAAAAGTTGGCAAGGAATCAGATACACTCTTCCAAACTCTCTCTGCACAGGCACGCATGAGGTACACACGTGTACATGCAGGCCAACATGCTTGGCACATGCTAGGTGTGCTTTTTCAACCACACAATGACATTTTCAGCCCCCTTGTCTTGAAGTTTGAAAAAATCATGTATGTATATGTCTATGAAAGAGTGTGTATGTGTGTGTATGTTTCCTAAGCGTCTACTGAGTGGGAAAGAGGCTCTAGTTTTTTTTCTTGGGCCCATCTTTCCTCTTAAAATTTACCATTTCCCCTGGGTGGTGGTGGCCCATGCCTTTAATCCAAGCACTCAGGAGGCAGAGGCAGGAGGATCTCTGTGAGTTTGAGAACAACTTGGTCTACAAAAAAGTTCCAGGACAGGTTCCAAAGCTCCATAGAGAAACCCTGTCTCAAACCCTGCCCCCTGTGGGGGTGGAGGGGAATTTCCCATCCTGGCAGGAAATAAACTTCCTAGGCCAGGAAGACTGAGGAGCATGTAGCCATTTGGTTCCATAAAGAACATATTCTGCCAGGCAGTGGTGGCACAAGCCTTTAATCCCAGCACTCGGAAGGCTGAGGCAGGTGGATCTCAGTGAATTCTAGGCCAGACAGGCCTAAAGCTACACAGAGAAACCCTATCTCAAACAAACAAACAGAAGACATCCCGAGGCTGAGGGATGGCTCAGTGGTTAAGAGTGCTCACTCACTGCTCTTGCAAAGGAACCTTGCTAGGTTCTCAGCCTCCATACTGGATGACAATGACTGGCAAGTCCAATTCCAAGGGATCTGAAGTGCTCCGGCCTCTGTGAGCACCTGCATATGTGTGGTACACATAAAATTATGCATGTGTGTCCTGAGTGCACGCAAACACACAATCTTTAAGAGAAAGTTAAAAAAAAAGAGCAACCTGTCTGGAAAATAGTTTATTAATTCATTATAGGGACAGATACATGATCAATGCCTTAGGGTAACACTAAAGAGTATCATATTTGTAAGGAGGAAACATGATGCTGGGAAATGTAATTAAATGATACAGCATAAACTAAGGATGAGTAAATAAGTGAGCATGTAAGTATCGAGTACACTTGTCATGCTTCAAGAAAAGGAAGATTTGTAAATGAGACTCAAAAGAATTTAAGGCATCCATGGCAAGCGACAAAGGAATTAATACCCTGTAAAAGGCCAATAGACTCTTTTCTAATAAAACCTGCTGCTACAAAGACACAAATCGAACACTCCCCAGTTACTCAGAACCCAAATCATATATAATGCTTGTGAGTAACGGCTACTTTCTTATCAACTGTGAGTTATAGGCAGATACCAGATTTATTACTTATTTGCTTTTGAGAAACAATCTTCCACCCAGCCTAATGGGTTATAAATTGTCTCATTTGCAGCCATTTAATTTAAACCAGAGCCTCAGTGCCTGTTAAACAAGAACATGAGCAATGACTGTGTGGTGTAATGCTAAGAGCCCACTGTTAAAAAGGCTATTTCATTCAAGGCAAGTAAAAAAATCTAACCAGCAAAATAAAATGAGGCTTTTGACCTTCAAAGCAATGAAGAAACACACTGTGGTGTTGGCTGTGGCCACTCTGAATGCTGTAGAAGTAGTTCAAGTGACAATCCTGTCTTTAACCAGACACGAAAGCAACATTAATAATCTTTAGTGTTATCATAGGCTGAAGAGGGGAGGAGGAGGAAATGTAGGTGAGGTG